ATGTCTGCGTTCCGTCTCATTCAGATCACTCCGCTCTCTCCACTGCCCCCCAGCTACCGCTGGGCACACCTTAGGGGATGAGGTAGCTGCAAGGGGGCTGGATGCAGCTGGCCAGGACGCTAGTTGGGAAGCCTAAGCTGGACCACTCCAGCATTTGTTGCCTCAGAGAACAGGCTAGAATTTTTGGATTTTGAATTTCAAAAGCCAGACACTAGAAAATGTAAAATAAAAAGTGATCAGTGAAATTTAAAACTCAGGGGGATAAACAGATGGAAAAGGAGACCTGAGATTTCACCCACAAGGCAGCACAGAGGTAAGTAAGTAGAGAATAGGGAAGAGTGAGAGGTATGGAGACGAGAATGAGAGAGTCTCTGTGCCAAGGAGAATTCCAGGAAGAGAGATTGGAAAGAATGAGAGGCAATATTCAGAGACACAATGGCTAAGAAATCTCTAGAATTGAAGACAGATGTCGGTTTTCATGTAGCAGAATCATGCCAGGCTCTGGGCTAGATCCTGGTGTCATTCCAGATCTCGAAGAGAAGCCTTCCTGGTCTGCTTGCTCCTAAACCTCTCCTCTGCCTTCCTACAGCCCTCACCGTCACACCTTTGCTTCTGCACTGGGTCTTAGACTGCTTCCATTCACCATTCTCTGGTGAGCAAGTTTTGCCTCCTCCACGAAATTGACAGCTTCGGGGGGGAGGGGGGGGAGGAGCCCTTCCGGTAACCCCAGATACCAGGGAAGGATGGCAAGATACTGATCAGAGCACTGTGAGACCCACACATTGGCTGATTTCCTCAGAAACTATGTTCCTGTACTGTTTAATCCATTGCATTTGAAATTTCACTGACTGTTATTTTTAGATCCTCACCCCTGATTCTGCCTATTCTTTTTTCCCCCCTTCATATATTCATGAAGAACCATAAAGCAATGGCTCTCAAGCTTAGTTTTAGCAACAGAGCCCTCTCATCAAATAAAAATGTGCTATTGGCAACCCAATTCAAGCAGAATACAGAACTGGCTGGTTGAATTGGGATGGGATGAAGACCCAGAATCCAACTGATTCATTTCCCCCTTCCCCCTGGGGCACCTTGGCTGGAAGCAAGTTAAAAAACCACCCATTAAGACCTTGAAGTCAGCTTTCCCCAAAGTGTGTTTCTGGGAACTCTACTTCATGGTGTCCCATAAAAATGGGGTTCCATGATCAAGTAAGTTTGAGAAACACTGGGTTAACCAAAGTGAATTCAGTCTCCAAGATTTCTTTGTGACTTTAATATTTAATATTTACATTGCACACTGGGAGTCTTTAAGAGGGTAGCTGATGTGCTGAGTTCTGCAAATCTACCTGTTGTGGGATTAGCCTGTAGGCCCTTGAGTGCTATGCAGAAGAGCACACTAGGGAAATGCTATACTGGAAAATTATAATAATAATAATAGGAATAGGAATAGTAATCATCATTTTCCTATGTCTCTCCGTCAGGATCTAATATAGGGCTGGACACTGAAATGGGGGGAGGAGGGCAATAACTGCTCTTGACTGAATGTAAGTGTTGGTCTTCCCCGACCCCAGAACTCCATGTGGAAAGCCCTGCGATTTCCAGGTCTCCTTTCTTCCTGACTCTGTTCTGCAGCCACAGACATGGCCTGGCAGGGCCCGAGCATGGTGAGCCCCAGTTCTTCTTGCTCAGTTCTTTTGACACCTCTGGCTGGGGCCCACCCTTTGGCCCAGGCGGGAGGCCCCAGAGCTCAAGCCTGGCCCGAGAGCTCTGGGAAACCTGTTCCCCTTGGCCACCCCCTTCCCACAGCCCCAGGGAGGGCGGTAAGAATTTCTGGAAATGCAGCTGGGCCAGCGACAATGAGGCAGGATGCCCTCCCCCTTCAGGAGCCCAGCCCTGCTGCAGACCCACTGCCTCTCGGGCTGGGCCCACAGAGGTAACCCTCTCTGCGGTGCCTCCATTGGGGCAGGGAGGGCCAGCCCAACAGCCCAGCCCAGCCCAGCCCAGCCCTTCCCTGGCTGCCCTTCCCCACCTCAGGCTCCAGGACCCGGACAGGCCCCTGCAGCAGGGCCCGAAGGAAGGGCATGCGCCCTGGGCTCTCTCCCCGCAGGCCAAAGCCCATGCTGGGTGGGTCTGGTCTCTTCTTGCCCACTGTTTTTGCCTCACTCAGTCATACTTTGAACAAAGAGTGAGGAGAGGGCACCCCCTTCGGTGCTCTGATGGACCCGTGGACAAGGCTGGGGTCCAGGCTGGGTGGAGTGGAACAATATGCAACTCAAGAATGTCAATATATAACCTAACAACAACGGACTTATTGCACCGAATGAAAATCCAGAGGAAGCTGTAAGAGAGGCTGCTGCTGCCAACTCTGACAGGGAATTGAATGAAGATGACAGTACAGATTGTGAGGAGGATGTTCAAACAGAAAGAAATGGAGTGACTCGGGATACAGGGACAGCAGCTGAAGAATTTAATGAGGACACTGACTGGTGAAACAGCATTTACGAATCGTTGAGGTTATTTGTTCCAAATTCAGTTCATCCAAAATGGAGTTAATATGCTTCACTTCAGTGTGTAACCAAGCACAAATGTTGAATCTGTGAATGGGTTTCTGTTTACTGTGATGTCCCACTGTAAACATACCTCTTCAATTACTTCTGGTCTCTTTGGTGACCTATTTAAACTTGTGTACATTATTGTACATAGAATAAAATGTTTTCACTTTTTTATGACAGAAAAAAAGAATGTCAATATATAAATGTCAACTGTAATTGAAAATAAAATAATTTTTAATTTAGTTAAAAAAAACCTTCTCACTGCCCAGCTGGCGTGGCTCAGTGGTTGAACATTGACCTAGGGACCAGGATGTCCCGGTTCATTCCTGGTCAGGGCCCATGCCCGGGTTGCGGGCTCAATTCCCAGTAGGGGGCGTGCGTGAGGCTGCCGGTCCATGATTCTCTCTCATCATGGATGTTTCTATCTCTCTCTCCCTCTCCCTTCCTCTCTGAAATCAATAAAAATATATTTTTAAAAAAATAAATAAAATACCCTCCCACCCATTAATAAAGTGCTTTTATAAACAATAAAATTAAACAAACCAACAATCAAACAAACAAGAAAGCATGCCAGCATCCTGTTTCAGGGCTTTGACAGACGCGCAGGCTGGGGCCACACAGTCCAGACGGGGAGTAAGGACGCCTTCCCCAGGGACACTCGTTTATTAAGCAGCCGAGGAGCTGAGACCCAATCCTCGCTTTCAAGGAATTTCCTCTCTGTGTCACTCTGTCGTTCCCTCTTCCTCTTTCTGTTTGTCCTGCTGGCTCCGTCCCTGTCTTATTCTGTCTCCAACCCCACCAACCCCTGCCTCCCTGCCATGCGCCGTAGAACTGCTATTCCGGGGAAAGAGGAATAAATGCTAGAAACTCAGCAGCCCCCCCCTCCCCACCGCGTCACCCCCAGCTCCCTGGCTTGGTGTCCCATCCCCAGGGCCTGGGGGCCTCAGGGCAGCTCCCCTATCCAACCCACCCCTTGGGTTAGCTAAGCGACTCTGTTACAGCTACAGTCCCATTGCCCAGCCCTTCTTCTTCCTGGGAGGACGTCGGGGAGGAATTTTTGTACTTTAAAAAGTTGTTATTATCTGAGGGGAAGCAGTCCCCCCCCTCAAAAGAGGTATTTTTTACCTGCAAACTGCTCTTGACTTTCCTTCACAGACTTATGGGGTTTTCAAGGAAGGGATTCAAGGGGCCCCGGGGTCCAGGGGAGAGAGTGGGGCCTGGGACATCCGTCCCCCCTTAGACTGGGGGCTCCCTGACGCCATGTTCCTTGAGGCCCAGGATGCTGCAGGCAGTGCTCCTTGGTGCTCACTGGTCAAGATTCATCTCTTTCCGGACTCATCTCCTCAACCATCGCTGGGCTGCCCCCACCCTTCCCTATTCTCCCAAGCCCCCAAGTCTCTCGGGCCTTTGCAAACGCCACAGCCCGGCCCTGGGCCTGACTTCCTGCCTCATCAGCCCCTGCTCCCCTGCCTGGCAACCCCTTCAGCCTGGTGACTCCCCAGCTCCCTCCCCACCCCATCCCACAGACACACGGGACTCCTTCCTGCCTCCTTGCCTTTGCTCAGGCCATTCCCTAGGCCTGGAGCACTTTCCATCTCTCCACTTACCAGTTTCACCACCTTCCCGGCCCAGAAGAGTCCCACCTCCCAGCAGCCTTCCCCACTGCCCCACCCCACACTGGCCTCTCTTCCCTCCCCAGTGGCCCCTCCCCGGCCATGTGCCTGTCACTTTATGGGGACTGACACCTCCATGCTCAGCCCCTCACAAACGCACACGCTGGGGGAGGAGGCCAGGGAACAGGATGATGGATGAGGCTGCAGTGGCTCCCTTCCCTGCTGAGGCTGTGGTTAGGAAATCTCCCCTCCAAGAAGCCTGATATTTTCCAGGAATTTCCTGAGGGTAGGGGACCAAGTATTCCAGAATGAGAGCCAGCTGTGGGGCTGAGGCTTGGGGTGGCGAGGGGGGCTCTGGGCTTCCTGGCTGAGTCAGCGACCATCTCCAGGTAATTTATGGGCTGAGTCAGAGCTGGGGATAGTGGGGATGGGAATGGGGGAGGAGGGGGTGCCTTTAGGGCAGTCTGTCAAGGAGAGGGTATCCCCTCACCCGCTACCCCACGCCCACCAGCCTCTGCTCCCTTGTCTGGAGCCTGTAAAAGCAGCAGCCAGGAGAGGGCAGAACGGAAGGGGGATGGACACAAGATTGCAGACGGGAGAAGCCTCTGGAGGGCCCTGGGGGTTCATGAAGGTGGAGGGGGACCAGCTGGCAGGCATAGACGGAAGCAGGCCTCAGGACTAAGCCGGGTGAGAAAAGCTGCTGGTCCCAGCACCCAGACTGGAAGCACCCCCCTCCCTCCCTCCCTGCCTCCCTTCTTCCTCCCTCCCTCCCTCCCTCCCTTCCTTCCTTCCTTCCTTCCTTCCTTCCTTCCTTCCTTCCTTCCTTCCTTCCTCCCTTCTTCCTTCTTCCCTCCCTCCCTCCCTCCCTTCCTCCCTTCTTACTTCCTTCCCTCCTCCCTCCCTCCCTCCCTTCCTCCCTTCTTACTTCCTTCCCTCCTCCCTCCTTCCCTCCCTCCCTCCCTCCCTCCCTTCCTCCCTCCCTTCCTTCCTTCCCCTACCCCTTTCTCATCAGGCCTGAGTGGCACTGAAAATCGGATCTGGCTTCTGATGCCCCTCCTGCTATGGACCTGCAGGCATCACAGACCGGGTGCCTCCTCCTTTCTGAGCCTCACGTCCTCAGTTGGAAAAGACAGCCTGGATCCCCTTAACCCTGATGTGTGGCTGCTCAGCTGGGGAGCCTGGTCCAATGGCGATGGCTTGGAACCAAGACAAAGCTGAAGCAAGCCTGGGAGGGCTGTCTGAGAGCTGTCCTCTGAGGCCTTGGCCTTGAATGCAGGCGGGGCTGGGGTAGCAGGGTGAGCTGGTTACTGTCCCCTCCAGGTTGGAGGAGCTGTGGGGAAGGGGGGGCAGGGTGTGTAATCTCTCACACACAAATGCACCCGCACACCAGAGTCCCAGGGAAAACCCGTTTCTGCCCAAATCACCCAGCACTGAGCCTGACGTCCGCCAGAAAGATGCGTCCCGATCTAAGCTCCTAGGAGGAGCCCTCTCATGCTGACAGAGGTGGTGGAGGTGTCACCCGGGGGCACCGGGCCCAGCTTTCCCATGTCATTCATGTACACCTGTTGCACGATCTCATTTGTTGCAGAATCGCCCCATGGCATATTCCAGCGGGGTGTTGCAGTGACGGGGCTCCACTGACCCTGGTCTCGGCATCTTAGAGGGGCCCCCAGGTTGCTGAATATCTCACTGTGGCTCACGGCTCAATGCCCCCAAAGTCGGAGAAAAGTGAGGATGATAGATTTCATAAACCCCAAATTAGTACGCGAGCTCTACAGAAGCAGTTTGGGGATTTGCGAGGCCTTGTGTAGTTCTATGAAAGGAATCATTTTCTAGATGACTAATGAACTGCTTTTCTTGTTAAAAACAGCCAAGATGAAATCTAATCTGGACAGGAGGGACCCCTGGGGTCAGTGGCATAGCTTGACCCTGGACCAGTACCTCACCCACCATCAGCACCCGCTGGTAGGCCCCTGGCTACACCACGGAGCAGGAACACCAGGGAGAAGGCTGTTGAAATTCTCCAGGCAAGAGGTGACGGAACAGAAGTGGTCGGAAGTGGTTGGGATCTGGAATAACTGGGGATCAGCTGACAGGGTTCTCTGATGGATTGGACGTGTGTCCTAACAGAAGAGACTCAAGGGCGACTCCCAACTTTTGGCCTGAGCAACGGAAGGGATGAAGTTGCCCTTAACTGAGATCGAGAATGAGTTTCATTGTACATTTCATAAATTGCTTTTGTTGCCACAAGTCCAGAAATCAGGAGTGGCTGGAACCAAGCAGGGCATCTGTGGGGTCCTTGCCCATTCTAGCATCCACCATAGTCCCTAAAGGGTTCCCAAGAGAGGAAGGAGACAGGAGGAGGAAGGAGACTTGCCTTCCCGCCTCTGGTGTGGGGCAGGGGGCGCAGCAGGAAGTGGTTTGACCCACTGAGTCCCCTGGGCTAACACAGCAGACAGGGGCCCGGGCAGTGGATGGTGTTAGAACAGGAGCGGTGGTGTCTGGTACTCTGTCTGCACCGACCCACCTCTGGCCCAGAGAAGCCCTTTCTCCTCAGACCGTGCGTGCTGTTTCCAGAACTTTCTAGAGGAAGTGCCTACCGGTGCCGAGGACGGCCGCTTTGATTCTCCTGGCCACAGACTCCGGCAGGCCAGGCTGGCCAGAGGTGTGCCTGTACCCGGGCCAGCCAGCACCCGGGGACTCACAGCCAGAGAGGCTGTGAGGATGGCTTTGTGTGGCAGCTCAGGTTGCCCCTGGCCAAGTCCTCCTGCCAGGAGCGGCCGGTCTGGCTGCCCAAACTCCTGAACTTAGGTTACCTGAGCAAACAGGCCGCCTGTTTCTCATTACTTCACAAGCCTTGGGCCTGTTTGACCCAGAGGCCAGATGCCCTGCCCCCACACCAGCACAGATGAGGGACAGGAAGGCTGCTCTGATTCTGGAGTAAGCTGGAATCCAGCTTCGGAATCTGAACAAGACAATCCAAAAAAAGAAAAAAAAATTAAAAAAAAATCCAAGCTTCTGATATAAAGAACAGATTGGTGGTTGTAAAATGTGGGGGCGGGGAGAAACGGGTGAATTGCATTTTTGTTTTTAGTTTAAATAAGTTGAATAGAAAAGAAGAAGAGGAGGAGGAGGAAGGCACCACAGCTCCGTGGGAAGAGCCAGGAGCCCTGTGTGAAAAGACAGGTTCCTGGGTATCTCTCAGACCGGCAGCCTCTGGGTCTTGGGGGAGAGAGGCCTGGGGCCTGCATAGGCACACAGTTCCCTGGTGACCTGAGCAGGGTTTGTACCCTGGACTGGAAGGACACATGCTCCTCATACTCTCTGGAAAAACATCACACTTGAGTCAAAGACATGACTCACAGGACAGGCGTCAGGGGGTGTGTCCTGGCTGTTCAGAACCCTGGGTCTTTGAGGAGGTCTCAGGGGGCATGTGCTGAGGTTGAGCCTAAACTAGGATAAAGCCTCAGAGAGGGGCTCGCAGTGGAGGCCTGAGCAGGACTCCAGGAGCCAGAAACAGAGATGCCTTGTGGAGGTGTCCAAAGCCCCAAACTCGGGATCCGGGAGATTCCCCATCACACGGGAGGAGAGATCAGAACACATCACTTGGCACCCAGTTCCTTCTCTGAGGAGCAGGGTCCTCTCTGTAGCCTCAAGTGTAAGATGAGGAAGGAACGAGCCTTCAAGTTTTCTGCTCCTGAGGTTGGGAGGTAGGATGCGGGAGGTTGGACATGGAACTGGCATGGGCCTGAGGAGGGGGAGTGCACCCCCCCCCCCCCCCCCCCCCGCACCGGGGCTGCCTGGGGGGATTTTGAGGTGGGTGGTCGGGCCCCTTGGACCCGCTCCCCCTCCCTGTAAACTCTTAACCCCGATCTGGAGAAGGTGACCCCAAGGGCTAGGGCTCACCCGCCCAGAAATACATTAAATAAATAACTGTGCTCTGCCCAGATTTTATCTCATCAGGATTCCAGAGCAGAAGACAAATGGCCTCATGTCCGGCAGGGTGGTGTAATTCATTCTCCCCGGTGAGCCTCAGCCTGGGGATGCGGAGGGGAGGGGAGAGGTTTGGAGTGTGCAGAACACGCAAACTTGAGGGCTGGGTAGGCCCTCGAGCTTGGCGTGCAGGGCTCAGTGCCAAGACCTCCAGAAATATCCTGCTTTCCCCGGGGCCTGCTCAGGGATGGAAACAAAGCCTAGCATCCTTTAATTCAGGGAGTTTATTTCTGAGACTTCTTCAAGGGCAATACTCATAGGATGTGTAAAGATTTAGCTACAGAGTTGTTCTTCACTGTGTTATTTATAAGTCTGAAAAACTGGAAGCAACCTAAATGTCCAACAAGAGGGGATTGGTTAAATAAATTATGACTCAGCCAGAAAAATAAAACTCAATGCAGCCTTTAAAAAATGATACTGTTGAAGAACAGATAATGACATAGAAATGAACTTATAGCATAGTAAACAGGAAAAATGCTAATAAATATATAAAATAATCTAATTTTGAAAATACGTCAATTTATTAAAAATACTAGAAGGATATACGCCAAAACATTGATTGGTTATAAGATAAAGGATAATTTTAGATTCCTTCCTTTTTCTTTGCTTTTATTTTGGTTTTGCTTTCCTGGATTTTAAACTTTTTCTGCAATAGTCATGCACTTATTTATACATGAAGGACAAAAATAATAAAAGTTGTTATTGTTGTTATTATTTTACAAACCAGAGCTTCTGAGATTTAGCTTAGGAGGGAGGATGTCCAGGTGGGAGGGACAGTGTGCTGGGTGCTGAGCGTCCAGGGTTCACCAGACCAGGACTCTGCTTCTAAGGGGTGCACAGTCCTGTGGGGCCACAGATGGGCATCGTTGACAAGTACATGGCAAAGAAATCCTGTCATTTGTGACAACCCGGAGGACATTATGCTAAGTGAAATAAGCCAGACATAGAAAGACAGATATTGCATGATCTCACTTAATATGGAATCTAAAAAATTCAACTCAGAAGCAGAGCCTAGAGTGGGGGTTACAAGGGGCTGGGGGGTGGGAAAAGTGGAGGAATGTTAGTCAAATGATATAAAGTTTCAGACATATTTGAATGAGTTCTGGAGGTCTACTATATAGCACAGTGACTATAACTAATCATATATGCTTAAAATTGCTAAGAGTAGATCTTGTTTTTCACCAAAAAAAGGAACTATGTGAATTAGCTTGAGCGTCCTAATCATTTCATAATGTATACATACATCAAATCATCATGTTGTACACCTTAAATATGTGTGCCTTTTATTGGTCAATTATACCTCACTAAAGCTGTACAAAAAAGAAAATCCATCCTATTTCACAGAGTTGTTGAGTAGAATAAATAAGAAACTCTGTACTTTCTACTCAATTTCGCTGTGAACCTAAAACTGCTCTAAAAATAAAGTTTATAAAAATTTTTAAAAATTAAAAAAATAAGCATATGGCATGACAGAGAGGGAAGACTTCCTGGAAGAAGTGACATTCACGCTGGAACTGGAGGAGTGGACAGGTAAGCTAGATTTCAACAGGCAGGGAAGGAGGGACATGTACTGCAGACAGAAACACTGGTTTGCTGAGGAGGGGGCAGGTGGACAATTCAGCAGTTGGATACTAGGATGTGGAGCACATGGCCTTGACTTGGGATTATCACTGGCATGCGACCACCCTAGAGAGAAGAGAATGAGGACAGAAGTGGGTTCAGAAGAGAACCTTGGGGCAGAGGCTGTGCTGGGAGGAGGCTGAGGAGGAGGATCTGAGAGGCAGGAGGATCACCAGGGCAATGAGCTGTCACAAGATTTAAGAATGAGCAGCGAGGAGAACATCAAACATTGTCAAGAGGTCAAGAGAGAAAAGCATTGAGAAGGGCCCAGAGTTGGCAAGAGTTTGGTCCCTGGAGACCTTGGTGAGGTTCAGGAGGGGTGGACAGGGCCAAGGTCAGGAGTATATGACTTTCTCTTGCTGTGTAACATCACCACAAAATGAGTGCCCTAAACAATATGACTTTATTCTCTTACAGTGCTGGAGGTCCAAAGTCCAAAATCAGTCTCACTGGGCTAATGTCAAGGTGTCAGCAGGGCCCGTTCCTCCTGGAGGCTCCGGGGGAGAATTCGTCCCCTTGCCTTTTTCAGCTTCTTGTGGCCGCCTGTATTCCTTGGCTTGTGGCCTCTTCCTCCACCTTCAAAGAGCCTCACTCCAATCTCTGCTTCTGTCATCACATCGCCTCCTCTGCTTTAATCTCCGGCCTCCCTCTTAAAGGACCCCTGTGATTACATTAGGCTCCACTGGAATAACCCAAGATAATCTTCCCATTGAAAGATTTTTAATTTAATCACACATGCAAAGTCCTATAAAAGATTGGGACATGCCTATCTTGTGTGTGTGTGTGTGGGGGGGGGTGTCATTATTCAGCTTTCCACTACTCAGGTAGCAAGGGGCTAATTATAGAAGAGAGAAGAGGAGGAAATGGAAAAGGTGAGGAGAGACAATTTACTCAGGAAACTTGAGTGAGAAAGGGAAGGGGGATGGGACAGATTCATGTAGAGCAGTGGTTCTCAACCTTCCGGCCCTTTTAATACAGTTCCTCATGTTGTGACCCAACCATAAAATTATTTTCGTTGCTACTTCATAACTGTAATGTTGCTACTGTTATGAATCATAATGTAAATATCTGATATACAGGATGGTCTTAGGCGACCCCTGTGAAAGGGTCGTTCGACCGCCAAAGGGGTCATGACCCACAGGTTGAGAACCGCTGATGTAGAGGAAGACCCAGCCTGGCTGCGGAGAAGTGGCTTTTAGACTTATTATTATTTTTTTTTTCTGATTCTGTGTGTCCCCTTTTCTCCCTCCCTCCCCCAGCCCAGTTGGAAAATTAGAAACATAATCCATGTTGTTGATTCCATAAGGTATTGATTCCCCTCACCCCTGACACCCACCCACCCAGGGGTCTGCCAAGCTATGTGAGTTAAAATCTACATTTTTAGAAAGACTGGTTCTCGTTTTATTTGCAAAGGCAATTTCTGCTCTAATGACAACACAAAACTTATTAATTATATTATTAATTTTTCAAGTTCAGATACTGATGTCCAGTTGAGAAAGGTAAAGATTGAATTCACATTCCTTACCTCCACTTCCACTCAGTCCCTTCTGGAAATTTGCCTTGTTGGACGACTGATTCTAATTCTTCTACTGCTTTTACCTGTAACTTAATTTCTCCCCAGCGGTATTGAGATATAATTGACAAGGGATTGACATTTTTTTAAACCACCAGGAAAAGAAACCCGGAGCTGTCAAGAATAATATTTTATTGACTTGGAATGAGTTTTGGAATCTGTATTTTTAACCAGCTACCCAGGTGATTTTGATGATCAGACAGTTTGAGGCGTTTTTTTCCCCCTCTTTCCTCTTTCTCTTCCCTTCAGTAAACTGTTTTTCAACTTTGTTTTTCAGTGAAAACTATTTCCTCCTCACGGTTAACTCGATCCAGAGGCTGCGCCCATCTCTCCCACGTCAACAGTCCTGTGTCCTTGGCGGAGGACAGTGCTCTCATTCTGGGCCTTTCCCTTGTTCCTCGGCCAAACCCCTGCTTCTGCACCTCCCTGCAGCTAGTCAAGCTCCCGATGCCGGGAAAGCCCCGCCCGCTGTCACTCACAGGGATGAGTGAAAGCTGATGAGGCCACACTTGTCCTAATCCACAGCTCTCCTTGCCTCCTCCACTCCCATTTCCCCAGAGCAGCTACCTCTGTCCCAGGCCTCAGGGCTGTCCCTGGGCTGAAGTGCAATCCAGCCACAACCACCTTCCAAAGCCAACAGTCACCATGAACCTGCAGAAAGGCAAGAGCTGGGCACGTCCTGACATAGAGTAAAGAAAGTCTCCCAGTGAAAAGACAGGAAGGCAGTATTTGGGGGAGCCCTGTGCTGAGTGGAGGTGGGTGGGGATATTTCCTTGGCTTCCAGAGCCTCTTGTCTGATGGGATCAGCCGCTCCAGCAGTAGCCACCTGGCCCAGCTTTGGGAGATGTGGAGATTGAATTTCACGGTGATTTCCACTGGGCCATGGCACCGAGACAGCTGCAGGAGGGCACACAGCTGGCGCTGCCCCACCCCTTCCAGAGCTGCTCTGGAGGAATGCCACCCTCCCCATGGGAAGCGAGAGGGTCCTACTTGCTGTGGTTCCATGGGAAGGGACCTCTACGCTAAACCCTCATTTTGAGGGCACGAGCTGGCCTTCATTAGAGTAAAATCCCAACATCACTTATTCCAGTAGCTCCCCAACCTGGATAAACATCAGGATCACTCGGGATGTTTATTTTTAAAATGAAGATTAATAAAAATAACGATTTTGTGAACCCATCCCCAGACCTAATGAATCAGAATCTCTTTGGTAGGACTAGGGCTGGAATGTGTGAGTCCATTTAATCAGACTGCTTTCCTGATTCCTGAAATTTGAGTCCATAGAATGAGAGCATGAAGAGGGTATGGTGGAGGCTCGGATGACAGAGAATAATCCTTAGAGTCACCATTCACAGAGGCATAGCCATGTGAATCGCAGCCAGAAAATTGCAGACTTCTCAGACATTATCTTATTCAGTCATCAAAACAAACCTGTGAGGTATGTCCAATTATTACCCACATTTTGCTGATGAGGAAATGGGAGCTCACAGAGGTCACACAGCTAGGAAGAGGCAGAGCCAGAGCTCAGGTCCAGAGCCTTCTCTTCACATCTCTGCCATGGAAGCAATAATGTGAAACCAGGCCACCACCTCCAGAGTATGTGACCAAATTGTGACATTAAAAAAAAATGTGCTTGAAAAAAATATATAGATAAATTTTTTTTTGAGAGAGAGAGAGAGAGAGAGAGAGAGAGAGAGAGAGAGAGAGAGAAACATGGATGTGAGAGGGAAACATTGATCTGCTGCCTCCTGCACTCCCCATACCAGGGATCGAGCCTACAACCTGGGCATATGTCCTGACCAGGAATCCAACCAGCAACTTTTTGGTACATGGGACAACACCCAACCAACGGAGTCACACAGCCAGGGCAAAATGTGCTTTCTGTACACTTATCTCTGGTGGGTTCAGTTCCCCTTTCTGGATCTCCGGTGAAATCCGGTGGCGGGTGAGCTCACTCCTCTCACATCAGGCCATCGAGCACTCGTGGACACAGAGGCGATCAGGTCATGGCCACCATCAAGACAGGATGGTTCATGGAAAAGGCACTGGGCTGAAGTCAGGAGGGGAAACGCTGGTCCCAGCACCACCACCAGGAGCTGTGAAAGGGGCCTTGGTGCCCTTTCTGTGCAGAGGGAGATGGATGGGGCAATCTGTAGGGGTCAATCAGCTCTTCAAAAGCAGAGCCCAGCCTCATCTCACCAGATACTCCCTCTTCCATTCTAGGCTCTTCCAAAGCAGTGGCTTTCTCTAAAATCAGTTCCTCATCTGGACATGAGGAGCCTCTCTGTGGGGGTGATGGGAGCATCAAGGAGGAAATAGAGCCTCCTCAGGCTTCAGAGAAGACTTCCTGGAAGAGGTGGTACCTGAGTCAGAGCTATCCAGGAGAGTTCAAACATCAAGCAGTGGAAAGAGCATGAGCCAAAGCATGGCTGCCTCTCCTCACATGGTATACACATCAGACTTAGGGTTTCAGTGTATTTTTAGGTGTAAAATGCAGTACCATCCGCCCTAGAAAGCCCTCCTCACCCCTTTGGCAGCCTCATTTGGCTTCCACAGGGCTTTGGGGAACTCCAAGGACCTGGGACCCGCACACTGCTGGGGAGAAGATGTTTGCATGCCTGTGTCCCCACTGGCTTCTCACAGGCCAGGGGACTGTGCCTGACATAGGACCAGGCGCTGGGTCATACAGGAAGAAAGGGAAGGAAGGGAGGAAGGAGGGAAGGAAGGTCTGGCTCTAAGGGGCACTTCACTTGGGAGGCCTCCGAGGGTGCCCGCCTGTCCAATTGGGTTCCATGGGACTGCCCAGGCTGGGTTGGAATCGTCCCTCTCTGACTCTCCCTGGTGAGAGATGTTTAAGGTCACACTGTGTGTGACCAGGATAGCTGAGCTCTGAGAGGTTGAGCCAATGAGGACTACTGCGGGAAATGAGTCCCCACACCCCTGCCTCTCCTGTTCAAACATCTTGGATACCTACCCAACATCCTTGAATAAGGCCCAGGATATTTTAAAAAATATATTTTATTGATTTTTTTACAGAGAGGAAGGGAGAGGGATAGAGAGTTAGAAACATTGATGAGAGAGAAACATCGATCAGCTGCCTCCCACACATCTCCTACTGGGGATGTGCCCGCAACCAAGGTACATGCACTTGACTGGAATCGAACCTGGGACCCTTCAGTCCGCAGGCTGATGCTCTATCCACTGAGCCAAACCGGTTAGGGCAAGGCCCAGGGTTCTTATCCCCAAATTGAGAGTTGAGAACCTGCCTTGGAGAAAAGTATAATTCAGATCCTAAACTAAATTGTTCCTGGAGTGAGTTCTCCTCAGGTTGAAGATGCTCCTCAGGTATAGACTGAGGGGTGAGGGCCCCAGATTGGGGCATCAGACTCCTGGTGCTGGATGCAGCACAAACAAGGCCTCCCTCTGACAAAGGAGAGGAGACAGTATGAGTCCCAGAGACCCAGCAATGAGCAGAGGGCAGGTGGGGGGCCAGGCCCATTTCACTGGAGATCCAGAAAGGCAGAGACTCAGCTGGAAGAGGTCATTGGAGACCGACATCTGAAGCTACAGGTGAGGCCCAGAGAGGGACACTTGCTGTGGAAGACTGAATAGATGGCACTCAGATACATTCAGGCAATTCCCAGAATCTGTAAATGTGGCAAAAGGAACTTCACAGATGTCATTAAATCAAGGATCTTGAGGTAGGGAATAGCCAGGTGGCCCAATGTAATTAATCACAAAACACCCATAGAAGAAGGATGCAGGAGGGTCAGAGAAGTCAACGTGATGACAGAAGCAGAAATTGGAGTGACGTTCTCTGAAGATGGAGGAAGGGACCAGAAGCCAAGGAATACAGGTGGCCACTAGAAACTAAAAAAGGCAAGGAAATGGATTCTCTCCAGGAGGAACGGGCCCTACCACACGAGTTTAGCCCAGAGAGACTGACTTTGGACTTCTGATGTCCAGAATTATAAGAGAATAAATTTGTGCCATTTTAAGCCATTCACTCTGTGGTGATTTATTATAGCAGCAACAGGAAACTCATACACTTACCTAGAGACACAGAGCTAGTAAGTAGCTGAACCTGTTCTCTGATCCTCCAGGCCCTCTTCATGGAATCCGCATCAAACTGGATGGGGCTGGGGTAGAAATGCAGGTGAGGCCCTGAAGGGCCCAGACAACATGGTTGGGGACGTCCCAGGCCTCTGAGATGTGTGTGCACGTATGTGCGTGTTAGAGAGATGGGAACAGCGTGCCTTCTTCATGCATCAGGGGATTTTCTGGGAAGGCAATCCTCCAAAGGCTTGTCAACATTTTTCTCTCCAGGAAAAAATAACTCAATCCCTATAAAAAAAAAATCATAGTTTCACACGCACACATGTGGACGCACTTGTGGGTCCTAGCAAGAAATAAACTACCCTGTCTACTGCAGGCCTCTTTAATTTTCACGGGTCAGGGTGCAGAGCTGAGCGGGTCGAAGGAACCATCAGCCAGAGGACTGTGGACACATCGTGACGACTGGATTTCCCCAAAGCATTCAGGTCCTGTAGAATAAGTTCCCCACCCCCTCATCGCTTCTTGCTTCCACTGAATCTCTGGGAAGATTTGACACATTTCTTAGCAGAGGAGAGCAATTGGAATTTCCAGCTTAATTCCAGATGTGGGCCTGACTGTGCTGGAGAGTTTGGCCTTGTCAAGCATCTGGGAGGCCAGTCGTCCCGCCAGACTCCCCAGCGCCGGCCTGCACGGTCGTTTGTGACCCCCCTCCCTGACTTTGGGTCTTGCGGTTGGGCTTTCTGGGGGGAGCTGGAGGGAGCCCATGTGTGTGGTTTTCACACGTGTGGAGAGGGCTGAGAGGGGTCTGCCTGACTGCCTCTGGGATGGGGAGGGGGGGCTGGGACAGAAAAAAAAATCAAGTTGATGAAGAGCATTCTGGGAGTGTGGATGAGGCCAGAAACTAAGGCCAGAGGCTAAATCTGGAGCAGGCTGAGGGTAGGGAGACTCAGAGCACTAACGGGTCAGTCTGAACCAAGGTCAATCCCTATCCAAAGGGTCTTAATAAGAGGGAGGCCAGGAAGGTCAAAGGCAATAGAAAAGTTGATATGACAGCAAAATGGAGGCAAGGGCCCACCTCAAGGAATGTCAGAGGCCTCTAGAATCTGGAAAAGACGAGGAAACAGATTCTGCCCTGGAGCCTCCAGAAGGAACACAGCCCTGCCAATGCCTTGACTTTAGCCCAGACAAGTAAAAGAATAAATATATGATGATTTGTTATAGCAGCAACAAGAAACTAATACACCCTCCCAGCATGTGGTGAATGCCAGATTCTGCCCCATTCCCTGCTGCAAGTATCTTTTCCACACGCACAGGGTGAGGGGAGTTTCCCGTCTGGCGTCCCTGACCACCTTGGCTGAGCACCAGCCCAGACCACAGCAAGGAGGGCAGGAGGGGCTGCTTCCTACCAACCAAGGCCTCCAGCTGGTGACGGAGCTGGACCCTGTCCATGTTGCCAGACTTCTGGGCCATGACCTTGCCCCCATGCCCACTGCCTTCCTTCACTCATGGATAAACCAGCCATGGGCCTATGTTCCTCCACCTCGGCCCTCTAATTCCCGCCTCCCCCCCCCCCCCGCTCACACACACACTCTGGGATTCCACTCCCTCCTCCCAACAAGGAGAACAACATTCTCAAGCTGCAAATGAGGGAATCAGAACAAGGAGTGAGAGACACTCACAGAACTCGAGAAGGCCTTGCTTCCTGGGGAATAAACATCAGCAACATCTGTGGTAAATGGGGTTTTAACAACAAACTCAGGGGCCGTGTTGAGTGAGGGTAGGAAGCGGCCAGGCTGGGTCAGTGTGTGTGGATGTGGGACAACACAGGGCCCCACATCCCTGTCCTGAGAAATGTTGAGATTCCACAGCACACCCCTCACTTATTTTTCTCCTCTCTGCATACAAGCCAAGTATAGACACCTATGCACAAATCATCCAGGTACCCACATGTTCCCAAATACACACAGGTCCACTAGCAGTACCATCATGCACACAGAGGAAACGGGCAAACACATATGCAGGCTCCAGCCAACACACAACAAGCAGTCATGCATGCACACTGCAGACAACCATACTCCACAAATGCAGATATACCCATTTACACACTTATACACTTGCACACA